ATACTATATATGTATATATATAATGTATATATAAAATGTATACTATTTACATAAAATAACCTCAGCTAAGTGAGAGCTGAACAATTCTTTCAACTAACTTCTGCATATCAAATATGCAATGTAGTTGTTCATGTAACTTATGAGACAAAAATGTGACTTAGGAGACAACAAAAATATATTCCTTAGCTTATATATTAACAGTGGAAATGTGATACTGCTTTTTATGTCTCAAGGAACAAAATGGGGTGTGTTCTTAGTGTTCTGGTAATAGTAGAGATTTTTCTTTCATTTTACATGGAATAGTTGCTTTGACATCTAATACTTTTTCTCTTCCTCAGATAACTTTTATGTGGATGACTTTGCTCGATTTACCACGTTGGATTCTAAAGATAAGACAGCTGCTGTTGCAAACAGCATGACCTACTTAACAAAGAAAGGTAACTCTTGCAGTGGATTAGGAACCCAAATCTAATCTTCCTGTGTTTTTCCAAGCATATATACCGTACTCAACACGTGCACTGAGCCTTGTTCAGGCCTGTGGGTAATGGTGCAATCTAACTGTTAAAAAGAAAGTGTTTTGTTGGTTTGGTTTGGTTTGGTTTGGTTTTAAATAAGGCACGACATCTATGTGAAACAAGAATGTTCCTCTCTTTAAACCCAGCCCAGCTTTCAATGAATAATGAAGTCCCTCCCAACCTGCTCTTGCTGTATTACAAATGACCACCAGAAATGCAGCAGTGTAAGCTCTGGTCCTGCAGCGACACTGACCAGAAAAATACAAAAGAGGTTCTAGCTCTCTGTCTTGTAATTCAAAATTACTCGAAGCTACATGGATTCAGAAGAAAATAGTTTTTGCCCATTATATAAGACAACACCTGACATGAGCTCTGCTGCTTTTATTGCTCCAGTGCATGTACTGCTTTCTCAGTGATGGTATTGTTTTATTACAGTTAAACATAAAGTCCCCCGTTAGTCTTAAAACTCAGCTGTACTTCTCAATGTAAGAAATGCATGCACAGACATGATACAGAGCTTAATCAGGCCTTTCCTATATCCATTTCAGTTAGGCATCATAAATAAGCTGCTGTCATTTGAACCAATTCCTCTTGTTCCTGTCTGCCATCTTTACTACTCTCACAGGTGTCTCCAGCCACTGCCACCTGCATGCACTGCCTTAACTGTTCCCTTTGCTCCTTCTCTCTTGTATTTGCCCTTAGTTCATGTTCCATCACTTAGATCTGAACAAATTAATTAAACCTACACCTCTGCATGCTCATTTGAAAGTGTGCATTAATTTGCAATCCCATGGCTTGGCAGTTTTGGGTCACTTAAGATATTTAATAACTGGTACCTGATTACAGTAATGCTGTAGCACATTTATTTTCTAAAATAAACGGAAAGTTATATGTATTGCTGGCTCAGCAACAGAATGGAAATAGCACTGTCATGCTAGTTTTTGAAGAGGGAAGATAACAGAGATGGTTAACATCCAAGTCATAATGGCGTGGCAGTTGTTGCAAATGGTCCTTCAGAATGATGCCTTCCTGGTATGGTATGTCACTGGTAATACGCAGTGTAATGAGTGCTGTAGCATGACAATAATGCACCAGTCTATTTGAGGGGAAGAAAAAGTCAAAGCTTATTCTAATAAAATTAGCATAAACTTATTGCTTGTTGGACTTCAGTGATTCAGTTATGCACAGTACAGTGCTGCAGCTTCTTGATACACATTGGGATTACTGTCAAATTATTAATGTCTCTCTCCTTTCCCCCCTTTCCTTTCTGCTTTTTGACCAGGAATGTCTTCCAAGGAGATTTATGGTAACTCATGCTTTAGCATTTCATATGTTGCTGTTCTGGGAATTTTCTGGTTCCTTTATAACATTGTCTTTAGAACCAGCAGGAAATGAAGCAAGCTGTTTAAATGCATGTTTGCTTCAGCACTTTTTTCTCTATACAAAACTGATTTTGTGAACTAACAGCTTCAGTACGAAGAAGCAGTATGTCTGTACCGTAGCTGGAATCTGTTACAGGTTCCTTTATAATTTCTAAATTAAAAAGGAACAAAAAAAATTAAAAACAAAAAAATCTAGCTTAGAAATAGTGATGCATGCTGTCCCATATGGGTTTTCTGAATGAGGCAGATGAAACCTAATATAATACCAATACTATTATTCTTGTCTTGCCAGACTTCATAGCTTAGCTTCATGCATAGCTTTCCTGTCTAATTTTACTTTTTTTGAAATCTTTGCATGTGCTTTCCTTCCCTTCATCCTCAAATTTCTCCCACTCTTTTTTTTTAAATTGCAGATGATTCCTTTGTTAGACCAGTTACTTTCTGGATTGTTGGTGATTTTGATAAACCTTCAGGGAGGCAATTGTTGTATGATGCAATTAAACATCAGGTAGGTAATGTTTTCATCTGAACAGGTTAGCAGTGCTAATAAAGCAGTAGGTAGAGGCTTGAAAAACACAGGTTATGCTTCTTCCTGTTGTATGACCCAGGGAGATTGGTTCTCCCTGCAGCGTCTCTAATTTCCAGCCTCATCTTATTTGTAGGGGCTGGAAGATCACTGACCTTCTTGTACTAGGACAGAACAGAATCTACAATGAAGAACATATGTTCTTTTAAGCCCATGGTTCTAAATTGAAGATGTCTGTGTTTTGCTTTGGGGATGAACATGAGCATTGCTCTCTACTGTGTCTCATTTGTTCTGGGAAGACAACTGAGTCATAAAAACAGATAGCTTACTCCTAAATCACTGTTTTGCCAGACTTCTGAGTGTTGGCTGTGGTCCTATATGTTATGTAGCATGGTATTACCTAGAAGATTCCTGCCACAGTGGTGCCTATACGTAAACTCAATACTCGATGTTAAATTAGTTCATCCTTTTAACCTTGTGCTGTTATTTACCTAATTTGGAACCTGGTTTTCTGGTTAAGAAATACAAAGCTTTTGCTATAGTGTTTATTATAATAGATTTATTCTCATTTAAAACACACCTGAAATCTAAAACTTTCCTAATGCATGTTTTGTTAAACACAGAAATCCAGCAATAACATTAGAATTAGCATGATTAATAATCCTAGTGAAGATCCAAACAGCCAGAATACACTTGTCGCTAAAGCCATATGGGCAGCCCTACAGACACAAACGTCAAATAACGCCAAGAACTTCATCACCAAAATGGCAAAAGAAGAAATTGCAAAGGCAGTAGAGGCAGGAGCCGACATTTTGGAATTTGCTGTTGGGGTAAGCATGTTTGTTGGCATTTACAAAGGGGTAGGCTACTTCTAATGAATCTAATGAATCTTTTAGTGTAGCATGTTCATATGCAAAAGAGGCAGTGACAATGGAGAGTAACACTGTTGGTTTTGCCTTTGTGGTTTGTTTGGGTTTTTTTCTCTGAAAGGTAAACTTATGTAAATATAACAGTGCATTACACATCAAAGCTACATAACTTAGAAAAGTCAAAAGGAATGCAGATTCAGGGATCTGTTTAAGTGAGTCAGTTGTTTCTTGGGGGATTAAGAGAGAACTATAATTTTTTAAAAAGCTGAGAAGAACCCTACATTTCTGAAAGTTTGTTTGTTTTTTTTTTTTTAAAAAAGTTAGCCAAAAATCACTTAAGAACAGAATAATGTGTTTTTAGGCAACTGGTCTGAGTAGCAACAACTACTAGGGCTGTGGCCCTTCACATTAGAAGTTGGGATAATGTTTGAAGGCGACACACAAGAACTAGGTTTAAGACCACAAAGAAAAGGGGCCTGCGGATAAATTTTAGCAAGGTATAAAGATGTTCTTCAATGGAACCAAAAAAGGTACATTTAAAAAAAGTGTGCAGAGGTGTACTTTTCTTCCCATTTCAATGTCAAGTATTCTTTTCTTTCAGGGTATGGATATCAATATCTTCAAAGAAGCCTTTGAATCTCCCAAGGTGGATTTTATTCTGTCCCATGCTATATATTGCAGAGACGTTCTAAAGCTGAAGAAGGGGCAGAGGGCTGTGATCAGCAATGGAAGGGTGAGATCAATGAGCAGACAGTAAAAGCAATATTCCACATGTGGGAAAGAAGCAGACCTTGAGCAGCACAGTCTAAGGATAACACACAGAGTCTCACCCTTCTTTAGGTCTCAGCAGTCTTTAGGACCGCTTTCAGTTTGATTTATTCAGACCTGCGTGACCTTTCCTTTGTACTGTGTGCAGGGAGTTGTTGGTGTTTTGTAGAAATTCACACCTCTTAATAACAGAGTTGCTTTCACGTTGGCAGTGAATTGAATCCAGGGGTGGAAAAGGATGATAAATTTGAAAGATTGTGCTGCTTCAGTTCATTGGGCAAAATGCTGCCATATCTGGCCCTGACCAAGGTGGCTGGGTCCCTTCTACCAGCTCCTTTTACAATAGCTACATAGATTAGGCAAATGATGTTACAGTAGTATTTCACTGCAAATAATTAAACCCAGCCGTGTACAGCATTAAGTTTTCTTTTGTCATCTGCTTCCTAGTTAGGAAGAAAACTTGTGAGTTCCAGTGGTTACTGTATACTTGATGGGTTAAAAATTTCAAGTGAGGAGTTGTGGTATTCTGTTTCTCTCATTAGCAAAATAGCAAGAATTGCCTAGGTAGCTTTTAGGCTTCTGAAGGCCAGAGGAATGAGATTTGCTAGAGTCTTGCTGGACTACTGGAATTGGCCCAGTATTCTGTTGCCCCTTAAAGATGTAGTATTGCATGTACAAATTTAATATGTCCGAATTTTGCAAACCAAGCACTCAGTGAAAATTTTAAGCATGCATTTTATGCCTTAGTCTGGGACTCTTGGCACTAAACAGCTAGATTTATCTGTTAAACTCTGCTGCCATTGACATTAATACCAGCCTAAACAGCTGATACCGACTGAGACTGGGCTGGATTATTTATTTAATACATCTTTGAATTTTGTCTCAGTGTAGCCTTTACCTAACAATGCTGATCCCGCTTTTTTGTAGATTATTGGCCCATTAGAGGATGGTGAGATGTTCAATCAGGATGATTTTCATCTCCTTGAGAATATCATACTAAAGACATCAGGACAGAAAATCAAATCTCAGATTCAGCAGCTGGGATTCGAAGAAGATCTGTAAGTAAATGTGAAGAGGCTTACAGAAAAGTGGTGGTACTCTGATAATGGGATTTTCTGCAGCCTGGAGAAAGCTTTATTAAGTACAGTCTGGATAGGTGCTATAAACAAACATGCATGCGTTCATATGGTCAAGGCTCAGCTGTTCAGAGGGGCAAGTGAGAAAGGAAAAATATGTACATTATCTCTGTTGGATTTAAAGTGCTTTAGTAGACTCTTTTGTAGTCCACCATCTCCTAGAGGTATGGAGCTGTATCTGTATCCCCCAGATTCAGGAGGCAATTCTGAGAGTACTGGCAACCCTACTATGGTACTGTGCTCAGTGTTCACCATTCTCGATTCATTATCTACACCTAGTAGCAACCTGCCATGGCTGGTCCGTTACCTTGTAACAGAAGTTGGAGGAGTTGTGTTGGCTGGAGCCTCACTGACAAGCAGCAACAAACTGGGACAATGCCCAAGTCTGTAGGCATTTACTACAGAACTGTTCAAGTGAACATGAAACAGTAAATGTATTGGTACTCACTGAGAGTCCCTGGATCACAGCAGCATGGGCGGCAACAGCCTGCTGTGTTATCTGAGGAGTTCAGGAAGCGGTTTCTTGGATTGGGGGCAGGGAGGGATATTAAATAGACTGAAAAAATAAAGAATGAGGGTGGTGATGCATTCTACAGGGGCTGGCTACATTCATTGCTGTGTTCAGCCAGATGAAGTTTCATTCAAGGTTTAGCTGACTCTGGTTGGTGACAGCGTCACTAACGGAGAAGACATCTGTATGCAGAGAAGAGTTATCTGCTGCTGTGGGATGTGTTATGAAGTGGTATAAATTGCTGCGCATTATTACATTTATTCTTGAAAATGCTTTCTGCACTGGATTACCTTTCTGCTTCTCTAAATGGAAGAGAAGCCTAACTTTTCATTAATACTAAAAGGCCTTTGGACTTCTTCCTGACACACTGTTTTAAACCATTTACCTCTAATATGTCAGGGTTTCAGAACTCATATGTAGGATTACTGTGGTATTGATTTAAAAGCAGAAAGAACAGAAGAAAATGAGACACTAGAGGATGCTTTCTAAATCTGTTTGCGGTTCAGTGAAAAGTGCTGCTTAGCCTATCAATACAAAAATTATTTTAATAATGTGTTTCACTGTCAGTACTACGGAATCATGTAAACTACTTTTAACTTTTTTAAGAGGAACAACAGGAAAAGAGGTAGAGATAACAAAATTAAAATCACTGTTCTAGATAATTATTGCAAAAAGCATAAAGGTGATCTAATCAAAAGAAAGCCATCTTCAGGTTCAAAAGAACTGAAGTCCATAGATGTGCGATTTGTGTGTTGGAGCTCATAGCTAAGAAGATAGTTTCTCTCATGTTTAGCGTTATATTTTTCTGTGATGCTGCTTGACTGTTAAAGGCTGGTCAGGTAAGTTAAGCATGAGGTCTTTTGTGCAGAAATCTTGTGTGATCCTGAATCCTAGGAGGACAGGTTTTAACAGCATTCCAAACACTTTTGCATCCATTGCTATGTTGGGAATCAAAAGAGAAGTAAGGGTGATAGGGCAGAGGAAGAGTTTGAACATAGGCTAGTTTTGAACAGAGCAGTTGTTTTCTGGTTTCAGTGCTGCCAAAGTTTTTTCAGAAGCTTTTGAAATTATCTGTTGCATTGGAAAACGCTTGTAGAACTTTGAAGACTTCGCCAGGCTTGTGGTTTTGGTATGAACAATTTAAACAGCTATCACTAAAATCTATGAGTGACTTAATTCAGGAAAAGCTGACAGACCTTCAAAGTATAGTATTGCTTCTTGGCAAAGCTATGATGTACAAATCCATTTTCATTGAATTTTCAACACTTTCTACATTTTCAAGATTACATATATTCTTAAAATACTAGACTGAAAATTTATGGGAACAATAAAAAGGAAGAAGTTGTCAGAAGTAATTCTCTTCTAGTGATAGGACCCCTCTCTCTCAAAAGTTTCTCCACATACAGGATTACTTCATAGTTCTTAGAGTTGCAGTGTAAAATGGGAAGAGTGCTGTGAAACACGGGTTTGATCTGAATGGCTTACAGGTCTAAACAGGTTGGTGAAGTTCAGGAATGCAATGCCTGTAGCATGGTTGACCCCTAAAATACCAGCCGTTCTGTATTTTTTAGAGTTAAACCCTTTGGCACGCTCAGTAATAAGGCTGCAACCTGTTTAAATTAATGGCAGATTAACACTTAAATATGTTTAATCCTTCAGAGCTTGGGTAAAGAGGTAGTAAAAGTGTTAGTGTATCTGAATTCAGTCTGTCTGCTCTTTTGCTGCTAACTGGCAAAAATGTGACAAGTACATGCATTTTCTGAGTATCTGTAAACTTTTTTTTTCCTTCTTTTCAGTGCAAGTGACTTGGTAATGAAAGTGGATGCTCTCCTTTCTGCTCAACCAAAAGGAGAGGCAAGGATTGAATATCATTTTTTCGAAGAACGATACAGGTATAAGATTGCTGGCGTTTGCTGAGCAATATGCTTTTCTTTGTCTTTAACGTTCCCGTTCTTTTATGCTGCATTTAACTTAAAAAAAAAATAAATCCAAGTAGCAATAGCAAAGTCCCCAACAGTTTTTAGGGCACAGTGAGATTCCAGAAATTATCTGTTTACCTAGCTCTATGTTTGTATATATGTATTTTTTTCTCTATCTAGTTTCAAAAGGTGTGTAGCATTTAGGAAGTAAATGGACAGTGGTTTTCCTATGTTTATCCATACGTTTGATACTTAAAAATTGCTTTTTCTTCTGTTTAGTGCAGTTAAACTGAGACCAAAAGAGGGGGAGACATACTTTGATGTTGTGGCTATTGTCGATCCTGTGACTAGAGATGCTCAAAGACTTGCTCCGTTACTTTTGGTATGTATACAATGTTGTAATGCATTTCATGGCAATTTCAGAAAGTTGTCTCAGTTCTGTAATTTTGGAATGTTTATCTTCCTCCTTGACTGGATGGTGACCACTGGCTTTCTAATAGTGTGTCTGAGTTGCACAATACATTTATTAGTGGAAAAGCTGATTACCCTATACTACTCACTAACAAGATCATGCTTAGATATCATCTAGATAGCTTTTAGTTTCACCAGTTTAACAGCTGAGTTTGCAGTGACTCTGTTCTTGAGGAAGAAAGTCTCTGCATTCCAAAAAGAATACCTGCAATGTGAGGGAGCAGGTAACTGTTCTTCTGAAAACCACCAATTAAAAGGTGGGTGTGGTAAAGCAAATAATGAGAAGGGAGGATTGAGCAGGTAACGTGCCTCCTTGAGGTCCTGTCTATAAAAACAGTGGTCAGCTTTCCTAGTTAGCATTTTAAGGGATGTCTTTTTCTCATTACTTTAGGTTTTGAACCAATTGATAAATATGAACCTAAGAGTGTTTATGAACTGCCAGTCCAAGCTTTCTGACATGCCACTGAAAAGGTAAGCAATACCATGCTAGGGTTAAAAAGAGAGAGAAAAAGAAAAACCTGTTGGAATGTGCAAGCACAGAAACATGGTCAGCTGTCCTATAGGAATTCTCAATAACTGCTTTGAGCTTGTTTATGTAGTAGCATGATTTTCCACAGAGAATTTGGGAATTTGTGGATAGCATGAGGTAATTCTGCTGGTTTACCAGTTGGGTGCTTTTTTTTTGGGGTGTGTGTATGTGTATATGTATGTACAAAAAAAAGTGAACTAACTTACTAGTCTTAATAGTTGAGTCTTGCATATTCTGTTTGGTCCTTCAAGATGAAAAGTCTGACCTGTTCTAAGGTCAACACAACCTGTGTTGCTTTGGACAAAGCCTCGGAGACATTGGAGGTCTGGGAAAGCCAACACTGTCACACTTTCAGCAAGTTCAATGAGAGTGAAATATTTGCAAAGTTTGGCAGAAATATGTTCTAACATTTTCCTTCTGAAATTTCAGTTTTTATCGTTATGTTTTGGAGCCGGAGATTTCTTTCACAGCAGATAACAACTTTGCTCCAGCACCAATTGCTAAGTTTTTGGATATGCCCCAGTCTCCACTGTTCACTTTGAACCTAAATACTCCTGAGAGCTGGATGGTGGAATCTGTCAGAACCCCCTATGACCTTGATAATATTTACTTAGAGGAGGTAAGAGAAATCAACATGTTCCTATTACTGCATTTAAATGGTGGTGTTTGTTTTTCCAAGGCTTATTTTTGTAATGGGAAAGAAATGTAGAATTTTAAAATGCTAATAAAAATAGAAATATGGGTATTAATGTCTTTTACATTTGCAGATCCCTAAACATTTTCTAGGAGGGAAGCAGGTAAATCAAGCTTGCTGACAGTAAGATTGCTGTTCTCAATTACTCATGGATGCCTGAACCACAGGTTGAACAATACTGTAGGCTTGAAGCAGATCCTACAGATACTTTGAGTGTGTGTATATATATGACATTTCAGAGTGTCCTGAGCTAGAAACAAAGAAACTCTTTGTTGGGTCATTAAAAAATTTTTTCAATTTGTTAGTTTAAAAATCCTTTCAGGTTAGAGCTCCCTACAGCTTATGCCACAACTAAAAAATGATTGTTATTTTTTAAACCTTTTTAGAAATTTTGAAGTAAGATCTGAGTCCTGTTCCAGTAAGTAAATTCTACATACTTTCCCTTGCTCCGAGAAGCCACCAAGCTGGTTTTAGTTACCTGTTCATTTCACAGCTTTTGTTACTGGCAAACACTCCTGTGGCCCACAAAAGGATATGCAGTTTCAATAAAACAGTGAAATCGGTGCAGCAGAAATCCACTCAATTGCAGTGGGTTTAGGAGCTGACTGCTGCTTGAATTAGACTATTAGAATGAGGCAGTCAGATAGTTTTGGTTCCTCCCCCACCCCCCCCCTTGAAATAAGCCATTGTTTAGTTGGCCTTGAAGAACTGCAGATATACATTAAACCCAGTAATTTTGTATGCATAATCCAGCATATGTAAAAGATGCCAGACTGACAGCTCTGGAGGCTGAAGTCCTCTATTTATCTGTAGAATGGGTATGGCATGGGCAGTGGCAGGACAAGCTTCCCCACCGATACACCTCAACCCTGGCCTGGAAGAACCACTCTAGAGGTGCGAGGGAAGCGCAGGCTCCCAAACCAGCCAGCCCTGGGCCTTGTCGGCCGAGACAGGCCACAGCAGCCCCAGCTGTGCAGGTGACTCCTGCAGTACGGAAACCTGCCTGCTGCGGGTGTGATGAGATTGTCAAACCCTTGACACAACAGGCCTCTTGAAAATCAACAGTCTGTACAACCTTGTGCTCATTACTAACGTGCGTTCCTTTCTCACTGAACGTTATATTATTAGTCTCCTCTTTTGCATCTCTCTGATATCATTTGGGAATACGATGCACTATAGTGGCAGAGTCTGCTATTGCTAATCCTGTGCTACTAGTATTCAGAAATCTAGGAAATTGGGTGTTTGTTGTTGTGTGGCTTAGTTTTTTGTTTGGTTTGTTTGGGTTTAAGGTTTTTTTTCTTTTCATCTCTTAACCTAACTGGAAAGCCATAAATGAACCACCAAATGGCTGATACTGCTACTCATTTCAAGCTTCTGACTCCCATGCCCCCCCCCCCGAGAGACAGGGGGATTAAATGCTTCAGGCATTTGAAGTACCATCCAGAGCCTCCAAATAAACAGTAGCTTTACTTTTGCAGGTGCACAATTTCCAATTCCTAATATGCAGTCTGTTGGTGCTGTAGCAGTGAAACTGTCATTTTGGATGTGCAATGAGAGAAGATGCTTTGTGAGATTAGGCTAATGTTACTGTTGCTTATGTAGTGTCCTCAGGCTACAGCTGAATTTAGCCTGGTAGGGACCCAAGGGTTTTTGGGCTTGTGGGTTGTTTGAGTTTCTCCTTCTTTCCTTTTTTCCTTGGCAGTTTTGTTTAGTGTAGAAAAAAGGAATTGGTCTGACAGCACCCTAGCACACTGTAAGAGTAATGCAGAGCAAAAAAATGTTTATTTCAGATGATAACTATTAGATGAGACTAGCTTTAAACAGATTTAGGTTCAAAGCTCTGGAGTCCATGATATACTTTTTACGAGATGCCAGACTGATCACTTACTTGACTACATTCTCCAATAAATGTTAGGAAAAATAATAATTGTAAAATAGAACAACAGTCCTTCCCTTTTCTTATCCTAGCATCTTGCAAGTTGAGATCCAAATATTTTAGGTCAGGGACACTCTTAACAATATGTGTGTGAAGTTTGTCACTTGAAGGAGCTGAGCATTTTGAGGCTTTCTAGATACTTGTTTAATAAAATTACTCTGGTAAAATTGCTATTTAATTACTATGGCTATTTTAGAGAGTAACTGAATGACTAAAAATTTGCACTTCAGAGTTAGTGCTGAATTCAGCAGTATCTTCTCCTTACAGGTGGATAATGTTGTAGCTGCAGAATATGAACTGGAGTATCTGCTTCTGGAAGGACACTGCTATGATATTACTACGGGACAGCCACCTCGGGGACTCCAGTTTACACTGGGAACTTCAACCAGTCCCATCATTGTTGATACCATTGTTATGGCCAACTTGGTAAGCATTCAATTGAAACTGGCAACGAGTAACTGGTCCTCCAGTCAGCACAACCACTTGCAGAAGCCACTGAGTATTTTCTACTATGGGGGTTATGGATATGTGGTGTTACTCTCCACAGTTGCTTGCAAATATATCAGAACCACATAATTCCTAACATTGATGTCTAGAACCTTGCAGTGTACTTCTTTGTCTCTTACCTTTTTCAAGATACACTCCTTTCCCTTCAGCTTGCTGAGGAGAGTCTTCTGGAATATCTTTAAATGATGCCTATATCCTTAAGGAACCTCTTTCCAGGGAAGGTCAGACAGTTCTGTTTTTTCTAGACAGGGTACTCCTTAGACCAAGCACTCTGGTATTTTAAGCCTCAGGTGGACAGTTGTCTTGTTTTGGGACCCATTTCTTCAGGAGATCTATGGAACAAATGGAGAGAGTCAGCAAGAATAGCCAACATTTTAGAAAATAAAGGAAGTGTGAAAGAATGGGAATTGCTTTATTTAGTTGAGCAAAGGTGACAGAAATCCAAGTGTGTGATTGTTCCCTGCAGCTGTCTTTACAGGGTAGCTGTGTGAGGGATGAGTCTGTTCTCAGTGTCTGCACTGGGCAGTGAGAGAGGTAATGGCCTGAAATTATGGCAAGGGAAGTTAGCCACTGGAATATTTTCTTGATATGTAATGTTAGTGAAAAACTGGATTAAATTGCTTTTTGTGAGTTTTTTGGAATCTTTAAATGTATTAAAGAAAAAGCATGGAAAAAATGTTCACTGATGCTAAATATTTTAAAATTCTTACACTCACTTTCTATTTCTCTGTGCCTTTTCTTAGCCAAAGTATATCCTATAATGATGTAATATCTCTCATTGTAGAAAGGAAGATGACCCTTATTTTATGTGTGATTGCATTGTGTGTGTATGTTAGGGAGTAAAGCTTCATGGCTTCGAGGTGTCTTTTTTCTAATTAGTTAAAACAAAGTGTATGTACCACTGTATACAATGCTGTATCTGGGAATCCTCTTCCTCAGCTCAGTGTCTGTTCTGTGCAGGGGTATGAAGAGACCAGGAACATGCTCTGTGATTTTTTATTTGTAAAGCAGACTGGTTCACATACAGAATTGCATGCATTTGGGGTCACAGTACAAAACTGGATGGGACACTGAAGCCTTGCTACAAATATTTATGTCTTCTGTAGGTGTAGTAATCTGTATCACAGAAAAAAGTACTCAGATCTGGAACCTGAAACTTCAAAAAGACTTGTATACAATGTTTGAATTTCACATTTGTAATTTTTTTTCAGTTCTGTAGAAGAGATATCTTATAAATTATGTTACCATTTCCTGCTGTAGATGAAATACCAGTCTGTAGAGCTTCAAAATTCTTTTAGATTTTGTTTTGTAGGCAGACCTTTCATGCACTGCTGTGTAGTTACCAACTAGTGTTTTGAAATTCATGCACGCCTTCATGAAGGCAAGCTTTTACAGAAAAAAACCTTGAGATTGCACTGTTCCCATCAGGACACCCTGAAGACTTTCTCATCTAACGAATAATGCCAGACCTTTCCATACTCCTGTCTCTTATGGAAAAAACAACTATTTGGAATGAAACTTCTGGGGTTTTTCTCCTGTTCTCTGGGTTTTAAAGCCTTAAGGTTATGTTAATCAGCTAGCTTACAAATAACTATTTTCAGATATAAAACAGTGGGTCAAAATACGTGACTTAAAAACTTGTTTTTTTCTAGATTTGCATTTTCTGGAAGCTGACACGTGTTCTTTTCACTTTACAGGGTTACTTCCAGTTAAAAGCCAATCCTGGTGCATGGACTCTGAGACTGAGAAAGGGCAGATCTGAGGATATCTACAGAATCTACAGGTAGGACGGTATAAGAAAACACTTTCATCTTTTTATTGTGAAACTTTTGAACTCGGTAGGCATTGTAATATGTAATATCTAACAGTTCCCTTGCCAAAGTGTAGTGAACTGAACAGCAAATTACATTTCGTACTGAACATAAGTTATGTGAGATGAAATGAAGTAATTAACTAAAAAAACCCAGTAAGAATGTGTGTTCAAATACCTGTACTTGTAACTTTGTCACGTCTCAAACCTATTTTACAGTGCTAAGGCTTAATACCGTGTAGAAAAATGTGTAGAAGAAATAAAGAACGTATTTCTGCTTTGTAGTAAAGGTCAGTATTTTACTGTATTTTCAGCCATGATGGCACAGACTCTCCACCTGAAGCTAGCGAAGTTATTGTTGTTCTCAACAACTTCAAGAGCAAAATTATTAAAGTGAAGGTGAGTTTAAAACTAGAGTTGCTCTTAAAAAAAAAAAGACTGTTTGATGGATAGTGGGGAAGAAACTTTGATTAAGGCCTGATAATCCCTTCCTCCAAGCATACATTTGAGGCGGTTTGCACAAAGTTCACATCACAGTATCAATAACGGAATTATCTGTAGACTTGGTTTTAGTTTTTTTGACACAGGAGGGAATGACATGTAACTCCTGTTCCTTTCATGTGCCCATGAGAAACAATCAGGCTCACATTTTACTGACTCAGTTGTGCTTGTGGCTTCAGAAAAAAAACAGTCAGTTTTGTATGTTCTCTATATATCTAGTAATAAACATTCAGTGTATCCATTGAGTCAGTATTTTATCTGCTACAGATAAATTTTACTCCTCTGGCAATACATTTTCTATCTGATACAGAGTACATGAGAATACATTTTAAAAAAAAAAAAAAGGTAAATTAGTAATCTACCGTCTCTTAGGGTTGTCTGTCAGATAACACCTTAGCTGAAAAGTTTAAGGAGGACAACTGATAGATAAGTGATAGTTATAACACATCCAGTTCACAGTTCCTCACAGGATTGACTTGTGCTAGAGTGATTCTGGGATGTTCTCCTGGTTCACTGCCTTGTTTTTGTATCTGCTTTGGAGTCTCAGTGGTCAATAATACCTCTTAGAAACAGAAAGTGGTGGAGGTGGTGTGTTGGGGTTTTTTTTGGGGGGGGAGGGGGAGGGATATGTGGGTTGGCTTTTTTCTTTGCTAGTCTCCATCATGAAAGGTGGTCACTAAACACCTCTTAGCAAAGCATTTTAACTACCTACACTAACAGGCCTTTGGTGTCTGAAAACAGCTTTGGAACCTGCTCAGAAAAATGTCAGTTCACTACTAAGCTGTTTCTCCAGACAGCTTAAGTTACCTATCAGCTCTCTGGACACCATTCAAACAGATACAAACAGAGCCAGTGTCCACATAACTCTCCACAGCTGTTTGCCCAATATGTGGTTCTGCTCACTAAAGCAATGTTATGCTTTACAGGTTCAGAAAAAAATAGATATGATGAATGAAGATCTACTAAGTGATGGCACCAGTGAGAATGAATCTGGATTTTGGGAATCTCTCAAATGGTAAAACTAATTCAGTAATAACCTGCAAGTCTCTTGAAACTAGAAAACTATTTGATGATACAGTTAGGTCTGCGGTATTCCATAGCTGTCTATTAAGACTACATGAATTTAGGGCTATCTTTCATTAGACTCTGTTTCTAGACAACTGGGCTACTGCTTTGCACCTGCTTACCTTCCCTTACCCCCACTGCTACTTGGCAGCCTGAAAACATTGTTCGTTTCCAGGAGCTGCATCTCAGCCTGCAATCTTCCAACTGAATCGGTGTTAATACAGGGAGGTATTGGGTCTTCCATGTCTGGGTCTGCAGCACTCTGCCTGCTGGAGGATACCCTGACTAATGGGGGGGGCGGAGGCAACACCAAACCCCACAGCTCTACTATATTAAACCAACACTCTAGCAATTTAT